CAACTGGTGTTGTGTAAAACTACAGTCCGCTTAGGATTTACCACTAAATGGTTTACATTTTGGAAGACATCTTAAATTGTTTGGAGCCCTGCAGTTCAAAGTTTTGAGGAGTTACCTCATTTAGATAGAAGTAGTAGAACCTTGAAGTTTATATTTGAAAGTTTTGCTTTAGTGGATTGCATTTGATTGTTTTGGCGAGGCCTTGACTCAAAAATGGCACTTCACTGCCGTGCTCAAATAGGAAATGACAAGAGTGAATTGCTTCCCATGAAAGTAACCATTTTAACTTCTGTGAGTTTTTATTTTGAGTGCAATTTAGCCATCCACAAAGTTTCTGTCTTGAAAGGAATTGTTCTAATTCTTCTGAAGGTGTCAAACCAAGGATGGTATTGGCTTGCGCCACATTCTCGTAGTGGGCAACTTTCAGGGCTTTTTCAGTAAGAAACTGCAGTTTATTTCAGTAGGACTCTGCCTCTGCCTCCACACTTTTCTTTGCACTGTTCATATCACAGATCCACTTGCCACTGACTTGTTCTCATTAACCAAGTGACAGTTTCCCTGCATTGTTGATGTTTGTAGTAATTGCTTCAAGGTTATGCAGAGTAATTAGAAAGTAGCGACTTGAATATTAGCAAGGGAGGAGGGTATTTATTATGCATACTGTGAACTGCCTTGACATCCTGCGGCCCGGGTGCAGCCAATGGGCTTTTCTTTAAAGCAGTGTAACAAAGATTGCTTTGAAGTGTTTACGTAATAGCACATTTATCACATTAAAAACCTAGTTTAGCACAGTGGACAAAAGTAGAGATAATTGTGTAATCAACTCTTAACTTATACACCGAAGTATGTAACTCTAGCAAGTACACAGTAAATAACGGGTAGCCTTGGCCCTGTGTTTTACTCTGACATTTCTAGCCAAGTTGTCAGCTTCTTGTTGCTGTGTTTTGTGCTGAACTTTGTACCTTGTTTTTTTTTTTGTTTTTGCTTATGAATCAACACATTTTCTGTAATTTTGTAAAATACTGGCCATAATCTTTCATTGTTATACATTCAAGTTTAACTATGGGTTTACAGTGAGTGGCTGGTCTGTAGAAAAATCCATTATACAAAGCTGACTGAATGCTTATACCAGTTGCACTTAAATGAACATGCCCATTCTCATTAGCTGATGCAGTAATATATTCAGTTTATCTATGCATTGCTGGGATCTTAATGTAGACAGAGACTTGTCTAAGGTTTGGGTTGTCAGCAAGTTGAATGGACACTTTAGTTATTTAATAAAGACTTTTGACCAAAATTCAGAAAATGATATGAGAGGAAAATGAATTCCGGCTAGTCTGAGATATTTTTTTAAATGCTGATCTTATTATCCCTGTGGGGCTAGCTAGCTGGTATCGTTTACTTTTAATTCCTTGTTGAAATGAGGCAATAATTTGCAAGATTTTGTAAATATGTAAATGCTTCATATCTTTTTAGATATCTATTTCAATATTTTCTGACTACTTCTGTGTATAGTAACATTTTTGTGCATGCTTGATGTGACATTCATAAATTTGTACCACTATGACTTTATCCATGTAAAATAGCTATTTATTGAAATTTTTCTTTTAAAAGCTGGACTGACTTATTTTTCTCTCAGTTTAAACATTTAAATGGAGAACTTGTTACTGTTTATTAAAAGAATTGCATTTGGGAAGTCAGTGTGAAGATAACCATGTGGTGACCATGAAGAAGTACTGCCCTGGCTCTTAAGTGGGGAAGCACAATTCTTGTAACAAAATGATGAATTCTTTGTCTTTTGCCACCCTTTTTCTTCATACAAACAAACCACAAATCCATAATGGACAATTGCAGTGTTGGTGAATGTTTCCCTTCTGCGTGCAGGGAGGCTGAGGAGGAGAGCTGATTCATTTAGAAGTGTAACTGGTGCTGTGATTAGAGCAATACTTTTCCTTTTGTTAGTCGCCCATCATCTTCTCCTGCTAGGTTTTTAAATGTTTAGTTTTCCTCTCGTCATGGTCAAACTGCTGAAGTTACTTGAAGGATGTACAATACTGTTTGAAGAATACTAAATTGTGTACAATTAGGTCAATGAATTGTGCAATTGTTTCCTGTTTTTAAAACTGAGAGTCAGAAATGTAGGAAAACGTCAGCTCCAGTAGAACATAGTGATACTACTTAATTTAACCAAAGTCTCTAGTGAATATTTCAGCGTTGAATGTAAACTAATGGATAAACTGACGAACAGGGACACTATTTTGCCCAGCGTTACAAGCACATTGTCTACAGATGGGGAAACTAAATACAGTAATTTATAAAATAACAACAAGGTTACTATTTTTTTTATTCCTATTTTTCATTGAAAGAAGGAAAATACTATCAGTTGTAAAATACAGTAGGTATGGGTTTAGTCTTCGTAAGAAAGCAGAGATTCCCGTTATTCTCAGTTCCAAGTACCCTGTGCATAACAACAGATTTTAGTGACAATCGGAACAGGTTTTAGTATCAGATGTTCAAGAGGAAGTCGCTATTGTTGCATTGGTTTTAATATTTGTACATAAACACTGATTTTTTTGAGCATTATTTTGTATTTGTTGTACTTTAATACCTGGTGTACAGTTCCAGAAATAAATGTCTGGAAACCTTTCTTCACTTGTGCAGCTCTTCATGCATCTGCACCCTGGTGCACCATCTGCATCAGAATTACTTAGCACCACCGCTGAGCACCTTTTGAGATGCTGCAGGGAGCACTGGATGGCACCCTGCCCTTCTGCCCAGGCTGGCACAGGGAATGTCACCAGCTTTGGAGGCTGAGAACTTTTTGGTGGCAGAAAGAAGCACGGCCTGAGATGACTGAAATGGAAATGGAGGTGGTTAAGTAACGAGCAAGTCGGTGTGCGTGGCGGGGTTACATTTGGAATTACAGACACCAAAACCAGTTAAAGGCTCCAGCATTGCAGGCTCCCGGAGCAAGAGCCTGCCCCAGCATTAGCTTGGATCTTCATGCTCAAGCTTCCAGAAAAAGGCCCCGAGTGTAACCACAGCACTTTGTGAGATGCAGGTTTCTTTTTGCCTGCTGTAGCAACTACCCTCAAACACCAAAACCAACCTCTTACCTGTCCTAGCTCCTGGAGGAGAGAGAAATTTACTCATTGAAATACTTGACAAATTACTACTTTTGCTAGTGAGATTGTTATCACCTTGCACTACACAAACTATAAAAAAAAAATCCTTTTTTCTTTACTTAGCCCTTCCACAAGGACATTCAACGAGGCAGTGGCCCCCCCTCATTCCTTGACAGAAGTGTTATTTATAAGCTCTTGCCCCTTGGAAAGCTGTGTTACTTCACAGTATGACTGTGAGAGTCACTACTGAGACTAGCATCTTAGCTCTCTTACGGAAAGCAAGAAACAAAAAGCAAAGAAGCTCTTAGTATTTGAAATGCTATAGCTTAAAGCTGAGCACAGTAGCACTTCTTACAGCGACAGCTATCATGGAGTCAGTTTCATTTTGCGTGTTCACAAAAATAAAACACTAGCTTGTCTTGATGTTTAGACCCGAAAAACAAAGATGCCTCTCCACACATAGAACTGACTAACTGCTTAAAAAATCAAAACCAACAATAAAACCTCTTTAAAATTTGGTTTCTTTTCCTCAGAGAAAAGGTGGCTAAACCAAAAAGCACCTCCTGTTCCCCACTTGAGGTGGACATTGCGTAATGTCCATTTTAAGTGTGAGAATGAAATGGTAGAAGATGAAGACTTGAGTCACAGTTCTGTTCAACTGCACAAGCTAGGAGATGCAATGGCCCATCCAGAACTTAATTTTCATTTTATGAGCTACTGCATGCACAGCTGAAACACAATAAACTTTAAAAAAATACTAGGCAGATGAGAACCGAACAACATGAACAGCTTACAGCTTTGCCTCTGCATGAAATGTGTTTTCAGAGAAAAGCAACCTGCAGCTGGCCTCCTAAATGGCCAAGCACAGCTCTCCATTACGCAAAGATGCTCGTGGAGCTTGAAGCACATACACACTTTATTTATTTTAATAAAACATATTTCTTCAGTCTATCAACTGAATAATTCAGTTAACAACAGTGAAGTAATTGGAAAAAAGTTCTTCTCCTTGCTGGATGTCTCTGAGTGTAACAAGCACTACACACCTCAGGTGGCTGCGGAAAGAAAAAAGGGAAACATGAGAAAGCGAACAATCCGATTTCATTCTTAATTCCTTAAACCTCTTCATCGGTAGGGGCTAAAACAATGTCTGTATCCACAATATCTCTGAGAGTAACATGCATAGGACAGGCCAGGCAGCCCGTGAAAATGATGTTGAAATAAAGAGTGCAAAGGTAAGTAAAAATGGTATCGTCCATAAGCCCCATGCTGACAGCAGTGGCTGGCAGAGTTTTCCTATGACTGGTGGGGGAATAACTTCCTCTCCAGGTTTCATAAAAAACAAACATGTCCTAAAGCAGGAAGATGTGATCTAGGGAGCTGGGTACATCCTCCTGGCGAGGTGGGATGTGGAAGGGAAGAAGCAACGCCTCAGACAGACCCCACTGCTGCAGTGCTCCCCCACCCCGAAACATGAGCCAGGGCTACAAGCTCTTCCATGAGAAAGAAAAAATGTATCATCAGATTACCCATGTTATCAGAACTGTAAATATCCATATCGAAATGAGAAATTACCTACATTTGAAACATACGCTGAAAAGTATTACTATGGTAACAGAAACAAAACATAAGAACTGATCTAAGGCATTCACAGATCACACTGGAGCGCAACCATGGCTTGTAAAACTGTCTTCTGAGCTACACTGATGCCATTTGTGAAGATGTAGGAAAAAAGAACAAAAAGAAATAGGGAGCCCTGTAATTTGCTTACAATGGGTCTAATCAAAGAGCTAACACTTCTCCTTACACATGGGCACCTTCATGTAACTCATCTTTACATGGAAAACTTCCCTCTTCAACCACGTAGGTCTTTACATACAGGATACTTTTACCACACAGATCTACGAGCTCTTGGATTCACTGCTGACCTCTGTATGTCGTGGCTGTAGACGATGTTTGGAAGATACTGTTTCAGTTCTACTGGAAAAGATTCTGGCACATCAAACTCCTGGTAACAGACATTGGCATCTTTTTCTAGGAAGAAGGAAAAAAAATGACTCTAAGATACCACAAAACTCTTTAGAGTCTCCCTTTAGGTTTGGAGATGTGCAAGCAGATCAAACGTACTGCTGCGAAAGGGGCGCCTGCTTTGTGGGGCCTGAAAACCATGCTGAAGTTACTTGTAAGTTTGCTTGTAAGTTTTCAAAAAAGTAGTTACAATAGTTATTCTGATGTCAATTTTCACAGTAACAAAAGGTGTCATGGAGGGTGACGGCGGGGAAAGCACCAACTGTCCATCAGGGGCAGGGGAATTTCTTTACCTGGGCTTCGGCCTGGGAAGAGCAGCGCCATGGGACAGGGCTCCGGCAGCCCCCGCGGCAGAACCTCTCTCCTGAGGCAGGACAGTCCGAGCGCCCGCGCGCTGCCTTTGGCAGCCCCAGAACTGCCAGCACTTCACAGCCATAGCCATGATACAGCCGCTTTACTCCTCCAGACCTCCGTACCAACAACTTTTATGTGGAGGAAGAAATAAAGAATTCCTTCTCCCATGTCCCACAGCTATGCCGTTAACAACGGTATCCTACATTTTGTGTCTCCAGGAAGTCAGGAAGCATTACAATGCCAGCGTGGCAGCATCCAGCCGTTCCGCGCGCGGCTGTCCCGCGCAGCCCACAGGAACAACGCTGCGCACTCCACGCACCACCTCGCTCTTCCCCACCACCTCCCCATCAGCCTGCGGCCCTCGCAGAGCGGCAGGGGGACAGCGCCTCAGAGGGAAGGGCGCACACTGCGGCTCCAAAGGGATTCCGCACCCCACTCCCAAAACAGCTTGTCCCCACAGAGCCGAACCCAGGCCCGGGCGACGCTCCAGGCTACTCACCCCGCGAGCAGTTGTTCACGTACTGCCCTACGGCAGCGCTGACCCGAGCCGCGGGCCCTCCCGCACAGGGGCTGCTGCTGCTGCCACCTGCGGGAGCGCGCACGGCGCCGGGGCGATGTTACACACTTGGTGCACGCAACAACAGGTGAAAACACATCCGTGATACTATAAAATAACGTACTTGGACTTTCCATCTGTGTGTGGTGTCTATGTGACTCTAGTGGAGGAGCCAGCACGAAAATGCCATGTACAACATTAGAAATCTATGGCAAACGCTACCATTACACAACTGCCGACACACGCGGTTTACCTCTAGGGCATGAAGGCTCATTGCAATACCAAAGTTCACCCCAGAAGTTAGACCCGGGGTCTAACCCTTTTTTTCTTTTTAGTCCTAAGATTTTAGCTTTATATTTGCACAATACCCATCATTTCAATGGGAGCTGGAACAGTCAAGCACAGGCCAGCCTTAGGCTTGTTGTGAAAGCTTCCCGCTCTCAGACTTGGGAGCACCAACCTGCACCATCAGTGAAGTCCACACAGAAGACTTCTTCATCCATCAAGCAAACTTCATTAAAAAGCTCAGAAATATTTTGGAAATGGCATGTCACTTCCTGCTCCTATTAATATTTTTCCTACAAGACACAGGCTCTGCACATCAGTTTTAATCGACATGTATCAGCTGTCTTTAGAGATGGAGAAACAAGTGCTGTGCTTTTTGTATTATGACACAAGACACATAGGAATGGATAATATTCACACAAATATGGCTCAAATTAGAGTCACACAGCATTATTAGAGTATCAGTTGAGGAACACCTCCCTGTTTCTTCTCAGCACTCACCTGTATACTGCTCTGGACAGCCCTTTGTCGTTCCCATCTATAAGAACACCATCTATGCACCTAAAAATAAAGGGATTGCCAAGGGACTGGAAAAAGATGGGTTCATATTTTCTGTACACTGTACCTGTTGCAAGACAGACAAGATTATTTCAGAAGAAAATAAATTAACCTGTCAAAATCGCTTTACTCAAAGCAGACAGAAGGTCAGAACAAGTTTTTGCTTCCCTATTGCCAGTGTGTGAGCGAGCACTCTTGTAAAGTGCACAGAGATCCCCCTTTGCTCCCCTGCCTCCACTAAATTAGTAATTCTGACTGATAAAAGAGCTGGGAAATGCCAAAGTGAGGAGAAGACCAGGCAGATCATTGCCACAGGACATGCCCCAAACATCTGGATGGGACTGATCCTGGCCTGACCTGGGTTCCAAGTGCAGACTGAACAGGTGGAAGGGGAGGCTGCCCTGCAAACTTCCATCACGTTGTAGTCTAGCTCCTCTACTGCATCGTCAGCAACTCGCAGCAGAAAACCTGCATTTACTGCATACACTCCCAATGAGCCAATGTTCACCTTTAACTTGTGTCTGAAGAGGACTGCAGGGTTACAAGTTAATCTTTTATACTTTTAGTTGGTATTTGCTCGGTTTACAAGTCAAAGCTAACAGCTAGATACTCAGGTTCTCAGATTCGTCCCAAGCCTGTCCCACTGGCACAAGCTACAGGGACCACATATGGAGGGCAATTCTGTTGACGAAATGAAACAGAAACAAACCCAAAGCATTTCAGCAGAGCCAAACTAGCTCAGCCACACCGACAGAATCAAAAATCTGCTCAAGCAATATAAGCAAATGTCATTCCAAGAAACAAGGAGGCAAAACAGAGAAGTGCTGATCTGCCAAACATACTTTATGGAGAAAGCTTCACTGAAAAAGAGTTTTACTTTCACTCTCTAATCTGTTTCTGTGCTTTGAAAAACCTGGTAGACTATCAGCTGACCTGTGAGAGACTCCCCCCAAATTAAACTGTTTTCTTAATTTCTGTGTACTTCTGTGCGTTCCTTCAAGGAATCTGGATTAGTTTTCAGGCAGCTGAAAAACACACATTGAGTACTCAAAGGTTTTTGAAAATAAAGCAACCTCCTACCCACCAGAATACTGCTTTCCTTATTTTGAAAATAACCTTAGTCAGTTTATACACAGAAACAGTCACCATAACTTCACAGAGTCACAGAATGCTTGGGGTTGGAAGAGACCTCTAGAGATCATCTAGTCCAATCCCCCTGCTCCAGCAGGGTCACCTAGAGCACGTGGCACAGGGTGGCATCCAGGCGGGTTTGGAAGTTCTCCAGAGAAGGAGACTCCACAACCTCTCTGGGCAGCCTGTTCCAAGGCTCTGAAATAGTGATATTGTTAATGAAGGACAGAAACAGAACCTGTAAAATAAAAACTGTGGAACTTTGGCACTATGATTGGTTGGAAAACCCTCTACCTACTCAGAAACAATAATACTATTTCATTACCTGGATACATAGACACAACGGTCCCCTTTGGCACAAAACCTTTGGAAATGAAGACGCCGGTTCCAGCAGATAGCAGCGAGCTTTGGTCTCGAGCAATGCTGAACCCTAGTGTGTTAAAGAGAACCTCCCCAGGGCTGCACATGCGCTGGCACCGACGGCTCTGTGCATGCACACGGGGTCTACCCAGCTCAGGAGTCGGCAGTCCTAGGTATTTATGTCCAATTTCAGGACATAAGGCCAAGACGTGGGCTTGTTTGCTCAAGTCATTTATGAACAGAGCTTCAAAGACTTTCAGTAGTGTCACAAAGACATCTTTATCTGTGATAATTTTGTCTTGGGAGTTTTCTGGAACATAGCGGAGGGTCCTATAAAGGAAAAAAAGGAACAAAAAAGAAAAGATATTTTTCCTAAGAGAAGTATAAGAAAGATATTTTACAGAAGTTCTCTTTGGATTTGTTTTAAACAAATCAGCACTGTAAAGAAGACACTCTTGTATCTTTCCACCCAAGATACCCTGACATATTTACAGCACCAGCTGAGCTCATTAAACACCATGAGATCTTAGTGGCATTTAGTCAAACGATCACTATACTTTTGGCAAGAATTAGGGAGAGTTTTCATACCAAATGGGTATTAATTTATTCTACATATAATTAAGTTCTACCCACTTAAAATTCAAACAGGAACTATTTTTAGCATTAAAAACTAGAACAGACATACCATCCTGCTGGGGAAAAAATAATAATAATAAAAGAAATGCACGTGCCTACTTCCAGCATTGCTTTTAACATTAAGTGCTAGGTTAAATTAGCCGATTTCTATGCGCGGGAGACCGAGACGGTTTTCGGAGCGGCCCAGCGAGCACTCGA